CATACGAGTTATTGCCGTCTAAGCCATGTACGATCATCTATATTAGAATCTGGCAGACCAAGCAGGATATAATTTACCGAACGCATATTTATTGACGCTTATTAATCATGGATTTATTTATTTGGACGATTTGGAAATTGGAAAAGTTGTAAGTGAATGCTTTTTAACTAGACGAAACTTTAACTCATTCCTATTTGCTGGAGTTTGTGCCGAATTATTTCATAAATTCTGAAATTCTGTCACACGCTTTGCTCGATCTGCTTATTCTCTTTAATACGAATGATTATTTAAAACTTTTATTCTTAATTTCGACACCCATTAACGAAGGCCTGAATTTATTCTTTCTTTTTCAGAACTGCTTTTAAGAAATCATAAATTTACAATGCTCGCATTTATCGAAAAGTAATTAATTATTATAAGCAAATAAACATCTCCCTTTATGCAATCTATGGTGAATCTCTTGGTAATTATTTCATAACATATTACAATAACGTAATTGCATTAAAATTGACATTGTTTATAGATTATAGTAAAATATAAATTTTTCAATATAAATTATTTGTTATATGTTTGTAAATTGTTTTGTATATCGATATGTTTCACTTGACAATCTAATTTTATTAAAGAAACAAATTTTATTTTATTTTTTTTTCACTGTCTCATCGCTATTTTCTAATTATGTAACATAGAAATAATAAAATCGTAGCAGAATAAGTATAATGTTAATAATACTATATTAATATATGAATTAATCATTACAAAATGAAATAAAAATTTTATCTTTGAAGCAGCATTTTCTGTGATTATTATTCTGCGTTGACTGAGCTTCCTCCATACAAAACGAATCGCCATAATAAGTATACACAGATAAAACTGTAATTTCAATTTATCTTATGGTAGAACCACAAGAAATCATCTACTTTATAGTTGTCGCGAAGCATCTATGTAGCATGCCCACGTCCGGATAAAACTTCGTTCTGAGGATAAGGTCTGTCAAGCAGTTGATGTACGAAAATTTTGGTGCTATCAAGTGTCTCTCAGGCTATTCAGGAATCGTCGACATTCTGAAAGGCAGAAAACAGAAGATTCGCATCGTTCAAATAAAACTGGAGCTTATAATATCTTATCAAACAATATATGTTCCCACCATTAATTATTATATTTGCAAAATATCCGATGATTTATAGAGTAAAACAAGCTTTAAGTTTGTAAAATACAAACAGCCTAGCGTTTATTACCTAACTTCTTAGAACTCGTTTCTGTTAATAGAAACTTCAGATGGTGTTATACAATAATAAAGTTTTATCTATAATATTAAGTAAACTATTAAATATTCAACGTTTAAATCACTGCTATTATTAAGGATTTTAAAATGTCTTATGTATATATTAGAAATAAAACTGTAATATATAAGTAAATGTACAGTAATAAAAAGCTACAACAGTAGTTTGAAATTTTGTTTGGCATTTGACAAAAGATGTGTACACATTAAATATATAAGGTTTCGTTTAATAATTGCTGCATTGAGTTCTAATAAGTTTGTTAAAGCTGATTAATATTTATAAGCATAAATTATTCATTAACATTAAATGAAGATAAAAAATAGTTATGATATCCTGAAATTCCAGTCTATAAGATAATGTCATAAAAAAATATTTAAACTCTTACAATTATAATGTTCAATTAGTATTATTGGTCTTATTACGATTATACTTGCAAAAAGCAAGTTATTTCGACAATTAATTAAAAGCTAGTAATAAAATTACAAACCAATACTAAGATTTATTATACAGTGCATCGTATTTACTTAATAATATTCTGATTTACATCTAGTATTTATTTCTCATAGTTATATTGGAATATATCAATAATCGTGAATTCGAACGTCAAAGTTATTATTTTAGCCGATGTTACTATCTAACTGAATTCAGAAAATTTTTAATCATTATTATGGTTTGGTATTTATTTTTTCCTCTCAGTGGCAAATAAAATCCTATGAAAAACATGAAATGATAGAGATTTTAAATTAAGACGTTATTTAAATTTTAACATTATTAAAGTGTTTATTGAAAATGAGTTTTACGCTTGTCAAATAAAATTTTCACCTTGTTAACAATTAGCCAAGTGCCACGAAAGATTAACTAAAGTTCAACGAGTTTCACCTTAACTTAAACATCAATTCCATTCGGCTCCATAGTCCGTGCAGTTAATGATCTTACCAACTCGAGTTGGCATTTACATTATTAGTTTGCCCCCTCTAAGCCAAATCTATCTGTCTATTTTGCTAAAAGAAAGACAAATCCTAATTCATACTTTGTAGAAAACAGTGCATTATAGGGTTTTGTTACCCAACTGTAATATGTCTGTTGCCAAATGTCTGCGTTTATAATATAATATGCAAATAAGTTTATTTCATGTATGCATCATTTATTCGACAGTTTAAAATATTTAAAACTAATTATGAATTTTATTACAAAGAAAAGATAAAAATTATTATTCCATGATTTAATGTTATAAAAATTATTAGTTTATGATAATATGGAAATACAGTAATTGGAGTAAGTACATTAAGCAGAATATTAATTTATTCTAAATTCAATATTTAAAAATACCGAATCAATCATTATTATTAATCATTATTGCAATACATTCATTTAGATTGACTTTTATTACTTGCTAAGAAAAATAAGTTACTTAATATTAATTGCTTCAATCGATTATTATTAATGTTTCTAATAATTACATTAAAATCTATATTTAACTGTAAAATATTTATATATGAATAAAAAAAAGACATAAACTTTATTTACTAGAAACTTCTATTTTTAAGATTTTATTGACAATCACATTAATATCATATAAATTAATAATAATCCATGCAATTGTTTCATTAAAATTATTTATCATATTTTTACAATATTTATATAAATGTTAGTTATAATCATCGATTAGCTCATGATAAATATGTTACTTTTAATACCAAATGTACTATTAATCATATATAAATAAATAAATAAATAAATAAATTTATTAATCTTAAAAAACATTGACTGTAGCTCTCTCTATCGGCATCAAATAGCGATCTAAAAATACTCTGTCGATAAGAACGATTTTTTGTTTTATCTGTCTATATCGGTAAAATATACTTGATTGATGTCTGATAATTAAATAATAATAAGAGATGTTGCTGTATAGTAATTAGAATATATATTCAAGGAATTTCGTTTAATGTAATCAATAGGTGCTACACTTAACATAGTGAATCTATTCAAATTATACATTTTGTGCTTTGAATGTTATTAGAATAGCAAATAAATTTTATAAATTTATGGATATTATTGTGCATTTAAAAATTTTTCATTTTTGTAAATATTAATTTTATCTCAACTTCATTTAAGAGTATACTTTTATAATACAACTTTTTATATTACCTTTTAAAAGATTTTATATTTTACATATAGAAATTAATAGATAATATTATATATATATATATATATATATATTCATTTTATAAATTTCAATCAATAACTGCTATTAAACATTACTTAATTTATTACACGAATATTACTATTAGTATTGAAAATATAATTATTGATGACATGGAATATACATTAAATTTCTATTTAGAAAAGTTTACTTTCATTTCGACATTTCGACATTTATAAGAAATAAATTTTATACAGACTTAAAATTTTTATTTCAGACTTTCTTATTATAAATAACTTTCATTATAAATATGTCGAGAAGATATTTCAATTTTATAAAGCAAATTAATAACGTTAACGACAAATACAATTGTTTTTATGCATTATAAAAGTATCTAACCAAGATGATTGTAATTATCAAACTATTCTCAACTCGTTGGAGAAAACCGAATAAAATTCTTAAACTTAAATTCTTAAAAATGAAACATTTATTTGAAAGAATGGAAATAATTCAAGTTTTTTTTAATAAAAAATACAATAGAATTATTAATTTCTATGAATTAAATACTTAAGAATATATTTTCATACTTTTAATTATAGTATACAAGATCATTTTAATATGCTTTTTAATGCAATTTAAACTCATGGAGATGTACGTACAAAAAGCGAGTAAAATAAAAGAACGAAATAAAGAAAGATGTTCGAGTGAGATAAAGAGAAAGTTAACGAAAATTGATAATTTTTTAAGATGTTTAAACGTTTGTAGATAAGCAATAAATCAAACTATTATAAAATAAAAAACTACAATTTTCTATCGCATTTCTCTAATGATAAATAAAGTACATTATTCGAGGAAAACAAATTCTTTAAAATGAACTAGATTGAGTAAGCATTTCAGATAACATTAAAGCTTGTATTATTTTAAAAAGGTGATAATAAATTGACGAAAACAAAATTATGCATGGCATAACATTTTAGAATTAGATTCTTTAATATTTATATTTCTATTCTAAATTTTGATTGCATAAGAATTCTAAAGATCAATAGATATTTATTTGAATTTAATTTCATTATCATTCTACAGTTTGGCTATGATAGAATAATATAAAGTAAATTTTGTTAAATAAAAAATGAAAAATATGTTTTTGATCTGAGACAAAATTAATATTATGCAATCAATATAATAATAACAAATTCAATAAAGTTTTTGTATATGCAATTTTTAAAATTGTTTTATGATCAAGTACGATAGAGATCATAAATTTGAATTTACAACTAAATATAAAGGATAATAAATCCATATATTTTAATGTTGAAGAAAAAAATTTTTTTTATTTATGTAAATAATAAATAATTACATTTTATTAATAACGTTGTAAATGATCTTAAGTAAATTAAATGTATATAAATAAATTTCAAGTGATAAATTACATATGAACAAAATGATAATAAAAATAATGTCTTTTTGATAAAATTAAAAATATCCTACGATAATATTACCTATATTTTATAATGAAAATTTACTTGATATTTATGATAACGTATGATATATTTATAATAAATTATAATTCTTACCTAATCAATATTCTTTCCTTTTAATTTTATATAGTTTTTTCGTGCAGCTTTATGCTTAAAAAAAACGAAATTTGTAATTAAACCTGCAGGTATAAATAAAAGGATAAATTCCTGTAAATCATGTGCCCAATATCCAGTAGTTGAATCAATTCGTCCCAAGGTTGCAATAGCACTTTTTACATATGTAATGGCATCAGGGAAGAAGTATCGATTCTAAATAATAAAGAATTCTTATATATATATATATATATATATATATATATATATATGTGTGTGTGTAATGACTATATAATGTAACAATATCGTGATAAACATTCTCCGAAGAAATAATTAAAAAGTCTTACGACGATCATTACCTTGAATGAAACATCAAAGTTAATCAAATTTGTATTAATATAACTGGGCGAAAGACATTGTATCGTCAATTTCGTTTTCTTATATTCACTGCGAATAGCATCGGAAAAATATCGTACATAAATTTTAGAAGCCGAGTAAACAGACATTAATGGTACTGGTAAAAGGTTTGATGCTGATGAAATATTAACAATAGCTCCTTTATTTCTTTTCAACATTTGTACGATAATCATACGAGTCATTATCGTTAGACTGGCAATGTTTATATTCATGATGTTCCATAGATCCTTTTCCGATATTTCATCAAAATACATTGGGTATTCGGTCAGTATTCCAACGTTGTTAACTGTATTAGAAATTACAAACAATTTATTATTTATACGCTTATAGTTAAGTTAATAATAGTTGCAAAATAATCGAATCAATTTTTACGAAAACTTAATTTCGGATAACTATTTTATATTAAAAAAAAAATTATAAATTTAAAAAATATTTATGAATTTACTCATATTTTTCTTGTACCATAAATTAATTATTATTATATTAATAATCTAAATAAAGTATTAAATTTAGAAACTTATTATAAAACGTTTGAATTAATTTTACGTCATTAATTTATTCTATTCGAAATATAAATATAAATTTTTTTAAAGCTTCTAGTAACTACTATGTTAAATTGTGTGTATTATTTATAATCATCAAAGCATAAACTGCGATAGAACCTGAACTGTCTTCCTATTTTCTAATAAAAATTTGACCCGTATACCGATAGATATTTTTTTGAAACTTAAAAATTTGAAATACAATTTCATACTAATTCATAGCAATTTTCTGATTGGCGTTAATAATTGCAAAAACAAACAAAAAAAAAAAAAAAACACAAAAGAAAAAAAAAACAAGAAATAGGTTAAAGAATTTTCATAATCTTTAGAACAATACTCTGTCAAGAAAAATTTCTTACTCTCAATAAATTAAATAATATTAGTTAATAAATCGAAAGTAAAAAAACCATATTAGCATAATTAGAATATGTCACCTTTAATCAAACTTTAATAGATGAAAAAGGAAAACATAATTATGTTTTATTTTTCGTTACTGATTCGAATTTTTCGAACACTGATAATGTTGAATTTTACAACGACAGCATGATAGCGTCAAATCATTTGCGATATAATTATGTTAATCTCGTATGATAGGAAAATATTCAATCAAGAAAGAATATGAAAATCATATATGTATAAGAAATTTTAAATTAATAATTTTAAGAAAAGCTTCCTATATCGAATAACAATACGTATAATTTAGTAATTACAGCATATATATATAATTAAATATCTTATAATCCAATAAGTAAATGAGCCATTATTTTAACAAAAGAATACAAAATGACTATCTCTTATTATACTATAATTTTTTTGAATTTATCAATATTAGATAATAATATTTTCACGCTAATATTACTATTAATTCCCCATTAATATTGATGAGTGAATAAATCAAAAGATTATAAATAAAATAGTTAAAAAATAAAAGCCAGTCTTGGTAAAAATTATGATTTATATCGCATTTATGCAATTTTTGTTATAAGTTCATTTAATATAATTACAATTTTAATACAATTATAGAAATTGTTCAAATTAGTGCATATCCTTAATTGTTAATGTTTCTTAAAGAATATATTTTGATATTTAATAATATATTTTGATATTTAATAATATATTTTGATATTTACCTAATATACCTATAGGTAAATCTTGTAATTCTGTCTGAATATAATCGAATACGTCTTTACCCATACTAAAGTCAACTTGAATAATTTTAACAGTTATTGATGGATTTAATGTAAGAATTTCATCTTTTGTTTTATTTAATTTGACTAAATTTCTACTAATAAGAACAATATTTAAATTCTTTCTAGCTAATTCTTTTGCATATTCTTTTCCAATACCATCGGTTGAGCCTGTTACAACTGAAAAACATAAAAATATAAATATATCATGACTAAATATGTACATATATATATAATTATTTTTATATTGTACTAGAATAAATTGAACTCACCTGCCCAATTGCCATATTTTTCTTTGAAATCTAATGGTTTCAATTTCAACAATGTAATCGAGAATCTTAAAATTAATTGAATAAATGCAATAAGATATTTCAAAGCAAACAAAAGTATTAAAAATATAAGAATTGAATTTAGCAACATATTTTATTTCAAAATTTCTTCCTGAAACATACCAAATAATAAATCAGACTTAGTATTTGATCGTTTAAGCATATAATAATTTACGTTGCTTAAAACTTATATGACCTAATATATAGATATTACTTAAAGTTAAATAAAAATTTAAATATATTTCTTACATATTAATTCATATAATTTAATTAGCTTTAACAAAACATTTAATAACAATGTTTTTTATTTTAATAACAAATTATATTTGTTATTTGTCGGAATAATTTATTCTTAAAAAGTGTAATAACTGGGTGAAGAATAATCAGATGCACGTGGAGAAATGTGTCAAAATATATTTATGTATTATTACTTAGCGAAAGTGGTTCGAAGTTGTAACACCGCACTAAACTCTTTTGAAAAATTGAAGCGAAGTCAGCAAGTTAGAATGAATGAAGAAGACACAAGGGAAACTTTACATTGGTCTGCTAATTCACTATTTGATGTGGACAATACTGATGTGGATTGGAATATGGCATAGCACTGCAGTAATAAAAATATCGGACCGAACATCAAAGAAAGTGGAGGGGGGGGGTGAATATTAATAGGGTCACGAGGATAATTATAATGAAGGTCAGAGTGATAGGAGAATCAATGAGTTATGAGTTGTCTGCGAGTCTTTTAACACGAGTATTTACTTCTTTTCTTTCTTACGTTGAAAATTTCTTTCATTGATCATTAATATATAATTAAATATTTAAATTAAATAATTATTCGTGAGTTAACTAAATTTAAATAGCAATAAATTCTCATATTAATATTAATGAAAATTACAGCGCTCAAAGTATTCGATAACACTAACTTGATTAAACACATTTTATATGAAAAAAATTATTTATGTTAATAATATAATTTGCATTTACAATATTACTTCGAAATTATGATACATCATATACGTATATTATATAATATTATATAAAAAATATTATTAAAAAAAAAAAAAAAAAAAAAAAAAAAAAAAAAACCAAGGTACAATGATAATTTCATAATAAAAAAGTGGCGGATAATTCAAATTTTTATAAACTGTTTAACTATATATGACTGTCATCATATTACAAACTACGTAATTAAATTTGATTGCATAAAGCCATCATACCATCACTAGGATTGTTGATACAAATATGTAACGTTTAATTAAATTAAAAAACTGATATACTGAGAAAACCGTTCACAATGCTTTTTTTAAAATTCACAGAAAATTAAACTAAAAGAAGTGTATTTAAGATGATAAGTATCGGATCGATGCGATTAGTTCGTATTCGAAGCTTTCGCTCGAAGAATAACATTTAGTAGTCACTAGTTTATACATATGATTTTATGCATTTAAATATAAATCAGAACGATTAATACAACGATAATGTTCATAAAAACATGTGAAGCTCGATTATACCGAGGAATTTTGTTCGATGATTAATGCAGATAAGTATTAGAAAAAAATATTTAACAACGACTACAATCCTACTAGACTATATTCTACATAAATTATTTTATTTGAGCAAGTTATGATAATTAAATAAATATTAATAATGTTGACACATTTGCTTCTATGCAAACGATAAAACCTTCAGTTTCGTCATACTAGCTATATTTGTTTATAGTTGTGCATTCCAATAATAATTTTTTATTGTGAACTTATGCAATAGAATAAATCCATATTTTTTATATATAAGAAAATTACTTAAAAATAATATGTTATATAGAATTCATTTTGTAATAGAGCGATTTTATTACCAAATAATATAATAATATAGATCAAATATAGATCAAATTATTCCGATACCTATGTGAGAATTTATACAACTAAATTATAATGATCCGTCACAATTACGCAATTCGGTATTTATAGAATGTAACATATGTACATATGCACATGTTTTACATAAGTATTGGAGAATTAGAAAAATTCTGTATTTATGAAATTTTCTCACAACAATGATAGCACATATCTTATTATTCATTTGAAAATATTTTTACTATAAAATAGTTCACGATTTCACATTTATCTTAATTGATTTTAGAAAATTTTTCTATTTAACATTGATCATCACATTATACGGACAAATATACAATTTAAAATTTTTATAGATCAATTATAAAAGGCAATAAATAATGCCGTTACAATCATATTGTAATATTACTGTAGAATATTTTTGCAGTGTTTATTAAAAAATTATTGACGTACGTCGAAAATATGCGGTCTTGAAATGAACTTATTTTGTTCCGGCTTATGTACACAGAGAGAAACATAGAGACACATAGATAGGTACATAAGTAGAGGCAGATGAATTGATAGATAGATCTATAGATAGAGATAGGTAGATTGATAGATAAAGACAGAGATAGATACAGATAGATAAATAGATAGATAGATAGATAGATAGATACACACATGGATAGATAGATAGATAGATAGATAGATAGATAGATAGAGAGAGAGAGAGAGAGAGAGAGAGAGAGAGAGAGAGAGAGAGAAATAGACGACTGAAGAATAGTAATATAACAAAGAGTAGGAGTAAACTAAGCGTCGTTAGTGCATCTAAACTCAATAAATAAATAAATTTGAGTATGCTCAATAACAAATAAATGATAAAATAATGAGCAAAAGATGAAAGGATAATCAAATGTATTCAGGTTTCTTAAGACCACATAACATTTCCTCCTAGCAGTAAATTCCCCATAGTGCTTAATAAACATTTTCATAAGATGGCCAACGGAATTTTTTCTTACTATTAAGCAAACTAGCTTACATATTTTATATTTTATACACTTAGACTTATAGTTGATCCTATAAATTGTGATGTAAGACTAATTCTAAAAATCATAATATAAAAATAATTCGATTTCATTATTTTATTATAAACTTTAAACCAACTTATTTTCATAATTTGATTTTAAACATTATTTTTATAAATTATCTAGACAGTAAATATGAAAAATACGTTTTATGACAGATGTGTCATAGGTAAAAAAAAAAAAAAAAAAAAAAACAGCAATTTCTAATAATCAATTACGTTACAGATGAGTTATAAAAAATTGATCGAAATATCTAAACTTATAGAATAACAAAATGAAAATAATGAGTATGATATTTGTAATATTGAAACATATAATTCTTAATATCTTTATAAAAGACATTCATCGACAATAATTTTTTAAATATTGTATTTTAACGCTGGAAAAATATATTTAAGTTTATTGATGTTTATTTTAATACATTATTTTTTTATTCTTATATTTATGTCAGATGATCCATCTTAAATCTTAAATTTTCTCAACTTTTTCATAACCTTTTTCAATGTGGGAATATTAGTTAAAAAAATCATTTTATCAGCGTTTTAAAATTTTCTGAAATTTTCTAAATAATCGTGAATCTCTGATAGTGTTTAAATAGTTAGTAAAGTTTTAAATAGCAAGTTAAAGAAATTAATCGAATATGAATTATTTTTGTATGCAATTCAGAATTCAAGATTCAAAATTCAAAAGGTACGCAAACAATTAATAACATATTGAGATTAGAAACAATTTAACGTTTTCTACAGTCGTCATAAATATTTTGACATTACACTTTTCTACGCTATAATTAAGCTCTTTCATTAAACACTTGAGCTATAAATAATCATTTTTATTACACTATCGAGAGTCGTAATACTCATAGGTTTAGAAATTTATAGCTTTCGAACATTCATCTAATTATTGAAAAAATTTATCTACAAATTGGAAAAATTTTATCTTCAGATTGTACGATTTTATGCAAAATTAGATTATTAACTTTCAAGATTCATTTCAGCTTATAACTTAAAATCAAATAAATAATTCTATTAATAATTATGTAAATTATTTTACTAACAAATTTGTGGTATTTCGGTAATCAAATTTATAATCAATATTAATTATCTGATAATAATCATAAGTAATTAATACAAAATTTAAATATTTAATATATTTTCACTGAATGAATGGTAAATAAATGAATTATAATTAATTTGAAAAATAATTAAATTAAACAATTTAACAAGCGAATTCCTGTAATATTATTTTGCGACTTTAAATTATTTATTACTTGTTGTTATGGGATTTTATTCATTCACATATATTTATATTCAAATTTTTTCAAAATAACAACACGACTTTGATAAAAAAAAAAAATCATTATTAATACAATATGTCCTTTTCTCCTCGCCCACCAATGTAACTGCAACAGTATATTTATTGTGATTGTTAATTCGATAAAAAAGAATATTACAAGAAAAATAAAAAAGAATGTAAAATATATACGTACATTATTATTTCCGGATGCGATGGTATATTATAAATAATTTCCACATAATTATATAAATATACACTATTATCTGTGACTTTTTTTTGATTATTTGGAAACATTTACTAGTCTAATCGAGCAGTTTCAACTGTCGAATAAAAGAATAATCATTATGAAAATTTTTAGACCAATCTATAAATAAAGACGATCTAATTGGTATTTTCAATCAATTCGAATCATCCTAAGCCATATATATTCCTTTTCATGACCAATTATTTGTTAAGAACGCATTTGTTGGAAAAAAATATATTTACTTAAAAATCATCTGGAATCTCTTCTAAAAGTTATTTTAAAAGGTTTTTATTTTTTTTTTTTTTATAAGTAAAATTAAATATGTTACTTTTACTCTTAGAAATTACTATTTTATAATTTACCATTCTACTTTTACTCAGATTTATAACTTTATAAATTAAAAATAATCTTAAAATAATGTAATAATAATATTGTTATTATTAATTTAATTGTCTTAAAAAAAATCTTTTACGGCGCGACTCTGAGGATAATGAATGAATCATTTGTATGTACTATTAAATATCTTACAAATTCTTATATTTATATTACATATAATTATTATTATTATTATTATATTTACAAATTATAATATAAGTGCGAATAATTTATATATCTCAACTATTAAAATAGTTTAGCTAATTATAAGTATTATTTTCTACTTGGTCTTCAAGATTGTTTCCACAAACTTCTTAGACATTCTTGATGATTAATAGCTACATTGTCACGTATATATTATGTACTTTATTTAGGTTTTATGCCCGCAAATAATCGATATATCTATAAAATAATCGATCATTTCCATATTTGCAAATAATATTCTAATGTTAATAATGTTATTTTATCAATCATTGAATTTAGTAGAATATTATTAAAGGATATTTCATTAATAACTGATATTTTTGTATATTTTATTTCTACGCTGGATAGCACTAATTAACATTATGTTGATATTAAACATAAATAAACATAATTTATATACATTTTAAAATATATTTGAATATATAATTGCAAATATTCGAGTAAAAAACAAAATAAATACGTCTTCCAAATAATCTATGATGGATACAATAATTATGACTCTTGCATATATAATTATCTAGTATAAAGTTATATATTACTAATATTGAAATAAATACATTAAATGAATTTTGAAAATCACTTTTATGTAGCGCCTCTATTTATTTATATGAATTTTGTTTTTATTTAATTTTTATAAAATAATATTACATGTTTGAAATGAATGGAAAGTCCGAAGGAATTATTAATACGATCAATATTGGTATCCCGATAAATATTAGTAAACTTGATATCATGAGCTCAAGCATCAATTAAATGCCAACGACCGGTTTGTCAATCCTTAAAAACTTACAATTATAATAATTGGCATGAGTAAGTACTGTGAGAGACAGAATAACCGTCATGAGTGCAATTAACTTTTCCCCTATTCGTCTCAGTAGCAACGAAAATAAAATAACTAAAGAAAAATTCGGGATCGCATCCTATGTTTCGAGAGATAAAACGCTCCTCGCATCCTAAGAGACAACTGAAACTCCCATGCATCCTCACCTATGAACATCACGACTTTTAATATTCGCGAGAAGATCGGAAGTGAATCCTAAGTGCCTTAACACCGATTCTCACTATATGATATTCCAGAATTTTCATGACCCGTCGTTCCATCACTAATTATTGCTATTAAATTGTAGATATACGAAAAATGACAACACATGACAAAATATGAAATTTATCATGTCAATCTATTCTGTATCCGATAAAATATTTTTTATTAAAATTAAAAATTTACAAATCTATAATTTTTAAATATATTAATTATGTTAATTTTTAATATTTCTCAAGATTTTTTTAATATAATCCTACTTTTATTATCTCTTAAACTTATCAGTTTATGTTAAAAGCAAATATTATACACATTTATACCTATAAATGATTGATTATAATGTCTAAACTTACTTAATTATTACGGTTACTTAAAACAAAATTCTTTATAAATATATTGCTGAATATCTTTTATATATTGAATAATAAAATTAACATATATTTATCTATATATTTACATTTGTATAATTTCAACGTATTTAAGAATATTCAATTATTCACAAGCACAACATTTCGTGCATCGTGAGTTGTACATTATTAAGCGACAATTTAACAATTTGATACTTAAAACACAGTATTATATTTTTACAATTAGTTTTTATACAATATTGATTGAATATTTTACAATATTATTATAAAATAGTAATAATTCCATGAAAAACTTTACGTTATATGCTTTCATATAGTACATGTTTGATTATAATGTGGACGAAATAATACTTTTATCACTTAAGACATCTTTTTTATTCGTGGATAATAATAGTATAGAAATAATAAATTTTCAGAATAATAATCATTACTATATTTAAAATTTTTAACTCTTGTTATATTTTTTTTTAATATTTTTTATATGCATACATATTTTCTTTTATTTTTTTGTTATTTTTATTTTTTAAGGTTTGAATTATTTTTATGTCTTCTACAAAAGAAAATTGAACTATAAACAATTGGCTTTATTATATGTATCGTTTATCTTATTATATATAAATTGTTATAATAGTTAGAAGTAGAAATAATCTTTGTAATTTCAGTCTTAATTCATAATAATCAAATAGCATTATTTTTATATTTCTCGTATAATTATTAATCTGTTTAAAAAGTATAATACATTATTTATATACTAATAATTAATTGAATAATTTATAGGATTTTTTTCTGAATCATTTACTATTTCTCACTATATGTTCTCTATCGTATTATCATCAAAAGGTATTTTTCCATATTATAATATATAAATATATATATATGAATATATGAATATATATATATATATATATTCACTTATTTATCGAATATTGATATTATTCCGTTATAATTTTTTAAAATTATATAATAAAGTATATTATTTTTAACTTCATAAAATAATAAATAAAAAATATAGAAACTTTATTTTACTTTTATAGTATAACAAAAATCATAATAATTATTTAATTCCATGCTAATTCGCTAGATTAATGCAAATGTATATTTGAACATTCTGTATGAATTCTTTTACATTATTATTTTTGTATACTAACGATAATAATTTAACAGATAAAATAGATAAAAATCCCATCCAAAAATTAAAATCAATTAATATACATATAGTTTGCATTAGTATAAGAAATATCTATTTGAAAAAAAAAATTATAATTGTATTACAAAAAGAAAAGAAATATTAAAATTTTATTATCTTTATTATAGAAATAATGAAATTCTGTATTAGTATTTATTTCAATATTGATTTTCTAATACGAAAGTAATTAACAAAGAGTGAGAAATTTCTATTATAAGATATTGTTTTATTTTACAGTATGTAAAACATAAAATTCATACAACTATATTAACTTAAATATATTTTACAATACATATTATTTTTTATTATCTTATTAGAGACTCTACTAACAATACTGACATATATAATATATAATATTGATGCATCAAAGTAATATTTAATACAGAATATTATGAAAGGTATTAAAAATATTAGGGATTACATTTTTAGAAATAGACGATAGAGGGAGAAAATTCTCAAAATAGTTAATATTATAATGTGTTTAACAAGATTTGGACACTAAAATTGTCCAATCATAAAAATGAAAAAAAATAAAAAAATAAAAATTGATTATAGAATGCATAATAATTATATTTATTGTCATAATTCATAACATATTGTTGCATATGTGTATTGATTAAATTAATCAAAGCAAAAGCATATTACATATTAGGTAGAAATAGTATTTTTATTGCTTTTTCTCTTTGAAATAATCGTTTCGCAGAATTTGATTCATAATCTGGCCAATCTTCATACGTATCCAAACCGGTGGTATCAAGGTAAAAAAATTCTGTATGCCATGGGCCCAATAACCTGTACTTGTATTTACTTTACCCAGCGTTGAAATGGCATTTTTAGCATAGGTAGCTGCATTTGGAACAAAGATCGTCGACACCTTAAAAGTTAATTAATTTTGCAATTTCCTTATTTGAAAATTTCTTTCTTATAAAATATATTACATAAATTATGTAGTAGGAATATTTTTGTTTAATGGGATATCAACCAAAAAATAAGCAGCTATGATAAAACATAGTGCTCGACGATTAACATAATAATAGTCTCAAGTACTAAAATCGAAAAGTTATGGTCTCCTTTTATTTACTTTGGATTTACATAATACGATAAATTAATGAGGGGGGGGGGAGAGAGAAAAACATGTATAAATTAAAAGATAAAATAGAATCATATTTATTAACTCTTACTTAAATTTATCGGGCAATTAAATTAGTCATACGTTTAAGCTCTTAAATTACGATTAGTGAAATTACATTATCAGTTAATAAATTCAATTGTAGTGTGGCTATTCGCTCAAAAATTAAAAGAATTTCCAATGGAAATGGAAATGTACCGATGGGCTTATTTTGTTATTTTGTTCAGAGCAACGTTTGAACGCTGAAACAACAAAGCAAGGCCATTGGGACCAACCCTGATTTCTTTGTTGTCGGCAAAAGTGAGCTTTCTCGACTTACCTGAAGTCGCTGGCTAAATGCGTTCATTTTCGTATTGACAAAGAGCGGCGTGAGGTGCTGAATAGTGAGGCCGAATTTCGAATATTCGGCGCGCAAAGCCTCGGAGAAGCTGCCCACGTAGACTTTGGTAGCCGCGTAGACGGTCATCAGAGGTAGAGGCTGAAGCTCCGAACCCGACGATATATTCACGACGGCGCCCTTGCCACGGTTCTTCATGCCGTTGATCACGAGACGCGTCATCAGCGTCGTCGCCCCGACATTCACGTTAATGATGTCCCAGAGCTCGTTTTCCGGTACTTCCCCCAAATACATTGGATACTCATATTGCTTGCCGACATTATTAACTGAAACGATCCGTTATAGTCCTTTAGAGCCCTTTTCATACTATGTCATCAGGCTTAAAGGATTGATTGAATAAATTGAATTAAGATTCCTTCTCTAATCAATTGTTAATCATGTCGAATAGACGTATTAATTATAATACAGCAGAGACTCAGTGCAAATCGGTGCAACAATACCTAAATACTTGTGCTATAAAACCATAATTTATCGTAAACTAAAATTTAAATTAAAATTTGATATATTTTTTTATCCTCCATCTAGTATTTCTATTAGTCCGCGGGTCGTACTTAATAAAAAACACAATTTTTTCCATTTGATTAAATATATACAACGATGTAAAGTCCAAAATAAATTTTATAATAATTATTCAATAATATATATTACTTTATGATATTTTTTTAATAATAGAAACGTGGATGAAATTAATTAATAGTAAATTCTTTATATGTATATTTATTTTAAGATATCGAAAGTATTTGAAATATATACATATATATATATATATATATATATATATATATATATAGATAAAAATCACTAAGCACTTGAAATTTTTGTTTGAAATGTTATATGCAATTAGCAATAATAATATCATTATAATAACCGTCATTTATTTATATAATAATACTGTTTCTCTTCTTAATTCGATAAAGTAATATAGAAAACATATAATTTTTCAACAGTAAATGAAAAAAAATTGTTGAATTACATTCTGCTTACCTAATATACCAATTGGAAAATCTTTTAATTCAGTCTCAATATTGCATAAACTCTCTTTTCCTTTACTGAAATCGGCAACAATAATTTTTACTTGGATATTTGGATTAATTTGTAAAATTTCCTTTTTTGTTGCTTCCAGCTTTTCCAATGTTCTGCTTATAAGAATCAAATTAATGTTTCTTGATGCTAATTCATTAGCATAAGCTTTGCCAATACCATCGGTAGAACCGGTTACCACTACAACAATAAACTTTTATAATCAATAACATAGGACATGTAAATGACGAGAAAGATCTTGTTGATTTAAAATTTATCAATTAATTTCTCATGTATATCTGCTAATTTGATTAATATAACAATTTATTTGAAATTGTAACTGAATATTTTCGCATGGCTAATTTAACGTATTAACTCTGTAAAATGTTTCGGTATAAAATAAGTATTAAGTAACCATAAAGTAATAGAAACAATATTATCGTTCCGCATAAGCAATAATTGGAATATAATAATAATTATATTGCGAACACTTTACTTTATATTCTGGCGAGGTCGTATTTTTCAATAAAATTTGTTTTTCAATTCATCATATTTATCACTTTAGTTATTTTAATAACCCAATACGATTGCTATCTTAATGGTTGTGATTGCATGGTATCATCTTACTTATATCCAAGTATTCGTACATTAGGTGGATCATTCAATTCAGTTAAATATGATATTAAATATATTTTTATTATATCACAAGAATATGAAAAAATAACTAAATTAAAAAATAATTTGCATTCTTTTTTTTTGTGTATAATGTCATTATGTCAATTAATTTCGTCTTTTTTTTTTTTTTTTAAAAAATCATTCTCTTAAAATGATCTCGACAATAATCTTTAATTATCTTTCATTACAATGCAAAATTAATAAATATTGTACTTTAAAATTTTTATGGCGTATTTTTCATTTTACTGTAATTTCATAATTAAGTAACAGCATTAACGATAAGTTTAAATTAATGAATTATTATTTATTCGTTAAAATTTTTTACTTACAATAATCATTTTAGAGGCATAGAAAAATTTTTTTTAAATAAATTTTTAAAAATATATCTTGCAACTCGAGATTAACATTTCAAACATAATATATAACTAAAAATTCTGTAATTGTAATACCTATCTCATATTTCAATAAAGTGTCGACTCGTATATAAAATACTTAAAACATTTATAAGCAAAATATTAAATAACGCTCTCTTATTAGTTGCATAAAAATACATTAACATTTCTTCCTATAAATGTGAAATTGGTATTCAAAATCGAGATAATATTTGCACTTTATAGTAATAAAGCTAAAAATGTAGTAAAATATTATATTATTATATAATATTAATTATTATAATATTATTATTAAACATTAATATTACATAATAGGCAATTCCAAAAGATTGTTATATTATTTTAATTTAAATATTTGATGACGAAACATATGATATTTCTTTTAAATATAATGTTTAAGTATAATATAAGTTCGATAGTGCTAGTAAGTACGATATTTACTGGTTAAATTTATTTTGGAAATAGTCGATAAACCATATATAAATATTGCAATGATATATATTATGTCTTATACAAAATTCAATAAATTAATTAGCGTACAAAAGTATGCTGGTAATAATAGCCAAATAAATAATAATAGTCCCCTAACATTTATTCAACATCGACTATCTTTTAAACAACATTTAAACACAGCGGAGTAATATTTGAGAAATGCATCATTCCTTGAAATAAACATATTTGCTAAATAATATTCTTCGCTAGAGTTGCAGAGAGCCTAATGGGCTCGCGTGCATAAATGACATTCATGACATTCCGACAGAGCCTTTGTAAAATACAAAAATCATATAACTTTAAATTTCCATTGCGCGCAGCTTGCAAGATAAAATAATTTTTACTCATCTTTAGAAATAATTTTATAATGAAAAATGAGATAATGATAAAATAGCACTTGAAGAGTCACCGAGTCATATCGGGAGGACGACGACGAGGATGAGACAGAGAGAGAGAGAGGAGAGAGAGAGAGAGAGAGAGAGGAGACATAGAGAGAGAAAGGAGAGAGAGAGAGAGGAGAGAGAGAGAGAGAGAGAGAGGAGACATAGAGAGAGAAAGGAGAGAGAGAGAGAGGAGAGAGAGAGAGAGAGAGAGAGGAGACATAGAGAGAGAAAGGAGAGAGAGAGAGAGGAGAGAGAGAGAGAGAGAGAGAGGAGACATAGAGAGAGAAAGGAGAGAGAGAGAGAGGAGAGAGAGAGAGAGAGAGAGAGGAGACATAGAGAGAGAAAGGAGAGAGAGAGAGAGGAGAGAGAGAGAGAGAGAGAGAGGAGACATAGAGAGAGAAAGGAGAGAGAGAGAGAGGAGAGAGAGAGAGAGAGAGAGAGGAGACATAGAGAGAGAAAGGAGAGAGAGAGAGAGGAGAGAGAGAGAGAGAGAGAGAGGAGACATAGAGAGAGAAAGGAGAGAGAGAGAGAGGAGAGAGAGAGAGAGAGAGAGAGGAGACATAGAGAGAGAAAGGAGAGAGAGAGAGAGGAGAGAGAGAGAGAGAGAGAGGAGACATAGAGAGAGAAAGGAGAGAGAGAGAGAGGAGAGAGAGAGAGAGAGAGAGGAGACATAGAGAGAGAAAGGAGAGAGAGAGAGAGGAGAGAGAGAGAGAGAGAGAGGAGACATAGAGAGAGAAAGGAGAGAGAGAGAGAGGAGAGAGAGAGAGAGAGAGAGGAGACATAGAGAGAGAAAGGAGAGAGAGAGAGAGGAGAGAGAGAGAGAGACAGAGAGACAGAGAGATAGAGAGATAGAGAGAGAGAGAGATAGAGAGAGAGAGAGAGAGAGAGATAGAGTGAGAGTGAGAGTGAGAGAGAGAGGGGGGGGGGACTTTGGTACGTTTCGTGAAGAAAAAATAATATTTACCAGCCCAGTCTCCAAACTCGCTCCGTAAGTCCACCGGTTTCGAATTGACAATCGGAACGAGTATTTCCCAAGCAGCACTCGCAACTCGGCTGATTGGATCCAGCAGCGCCCAGACAACGATCAGTCCACATATCAACCACAGTATAACTTCCAGCCACATGTTTCACAGGGATATCACAACCTCGGCACCACCGACAGCGCGCATTAGTAGTGCTCCATGGCACGGGCGCTCGTGAATGCGAGTCAGGTGCAGCGAGTGAAAGGAGGAGAAGCGCGAGATGCGAGTCGAAAGAAAATTCGTCTCCTCGAGGCTGGTAAGCTGCAGCCCCGATGGATCAGTGGAGCGGAGCGAATGAATACAAGTGTGCGAGCAAGTGCGCGACGTCGTCGTCGTGACCTCTCGCAGCGAGTAATCGACGGGCGCGAGATCGCTCCACGTAGTTCGGGCCTTGGACCCTCTCGGCCTACGGGGCCGGGAGCTACGATTTTGCCGATTGGCCGACGGAGGTCGGCGATTCCAGTACGCCACGAGAGCCAAGTGACGACAGCACGAAGGCGAGTCACTTTCTCGCGCGCGTGCCACTTCCTTCGAGAGTGTGCCGCTGCGTTCGCCGTCCAGGGCTCCGCAGCTAAAAGGCCATTCGGCCGCGCATTCGGGCGCGCGTGTCGTGTGCCCGTTCAAAGCTCTTTTCACGTTTACGCTCCTGACCGACGAAGGGGGAAAGCGACCGCTGGAATCGATTGAGGAAATCGGATGAAAGACACGTGTTGCTTCAGAGCACCGACTCACCGATCAATTTCCTTCAATATTTAACGAAAGGTCTGGACGCTTTCGTTGCTCGTACCGCGTTTATGCATTATGCTCTTATGAAGATCATTGCTAGGTATCGGTCTAGTTGACGATACTGCATGAGTAGTGATATTTATAAAGGGCATTCAGTTATACGTGGAAGTGAGCATCTCTCGTTCGTGAACCTTGTGCGGAATGAAGATCTGTTTACTGTTATAGAAATTGCAGATTAATTAGTGCAATATTAAATAATTTAGGTATACATGTGCGTTTCGATTTTCGTTGAAATATATTTTTGACATTAATGAACAAAAATTCAAATAAGTAATTGCAATTTATGGTTGTAAAATTTATTTATTTATTTATTTATGTAACGACACGGTTTATATATTGAACGAATCCAACTACTAACGATAAGACGTAATATTTAACGAATAAAGTAATAATTGAAAGTAACAAATAGACATGCTTTTTCCGTTGAAATTAAACATTGCAATTAATTAATCCTGTGATTAATATAAAAAACAAATAATAACAACAACAACAACAACAACAACAACAACAACAACAACAGCAGCAGCAACAATAATAATAACTAAATAATAATAATAATATAGTTAAAATACACATAAAATGAAATATTTAAACTGCCTCTAAGATAAGCAACTTTTTATATTGACGGATATGCTTACCTTTCTAAATCCAATGCAGCTATGTTAAGATTCAAAGTTTTGAATGGGCTTGGAAGAAAGCGAATCCATTATTCATGAAACTGATTTTTAAGTATTGCAGTCCTTTAGTAAAAATGATTCCTTCTAATGTGTCTGATCAGAAATTATTACATTCAAAAAACCTGATATGTGAAAAAAATATTTTTTTACACGAGCCGTAGTATTATAATTTAAGTATATATGAATTTATATTTATTATGCAATGCTGTTTATGCTATTGTTTTTATAATGTGACGTAAATTAGTAAATTTCAAACGAAACATGCAAATTTTAAATTCGGTTTTTATTAAGATTCGTCAAAGACAAATAGAAATCTCCAATATAATATTACATATCTACTTGCTATGTTTTATGTTATGAACAAATTTATTTGTTATGATAGTATTATAATATTATATGTACAAAACCAGATATATATTTAAATACTTATCGAGTATTTCACATAAAAAACATATAACATATTATTTTGCATATCACCAAATAAAAAGTCAGTATAATAATGTATTAATTTAAGCAAGGGGGAATATATTTTGTCTCCTTGACTATCGCATATTTTGGATCATCACCTAACTTGTTTTTCAGAGATTAACTCTTGTATATATTGGTGAGCCGTCAAACGGCTCGATTGCGCCATCCATCTCTTTGAGTTGCAATGCTTGAACATTTAATACATACCAATATTTCAATGAAATCATTCAATGATAAATTTATTTTAAAGCTAGATGACGATTTATATGATATCCGTTCCTACTTCAGCGATTGAACATTTTTTTCGTAATATTATTTATAATGCGATTTCATATCTCTTTGATGGGATGGATGATCCCATTTTTATTACAAAGTGCATAATATTGTTAAAATTACAGGAAGTCCCATCGTTAAAATATACAATATTGCATCTAATATATATTTTATGATATAATCTAATTTCGTTTCTCGAAATAATTTCATAATAAAAATTTTACATATTCGTCTTAATCATATATTAAATTATTTATCATATTTTATTCCCTATATCTGTTAATTATTTTAAAATGAAGTGCAATTAAAAATATAATAAAAAATTATATTGCAATTATTTAATTAGACTGAATGAATAATATTTACAATGCCATTAATTATAATAATAAAAAATTAATTATTCTATCTTTAAGAGACGAGCATTATAAGTTCATAAATAATTTTCATGTTGTCTTATAATATATTTATAAACCATTTTAAGATTATAAAGAGCATTAAAAAATATGCTAATTTATATATAATTCAGACAGATAATAATTGATGATTCAACGCATTAGTAATAATAATTAATTAACAAACAATATTTACTAAATTTTATCGAAGAGTTTCCTTAAATATAAAAAAAACTTATTTATTACTAAAATATTACATCATTTGATTAAATATATTCTATAATTTGGTATTCAAATAAATAGACATTCATATTAAAGTTAACTTTAACATAACTCGTAACTTTTCATTTGATAACTAAAATTTACCTTACTTAATGTATTAAATTTTCTGTATAAATTGCAAAAAAAAAAAAAAAAAAAAAAACTTGGAAGGTTGTTACCACATACAGATGCATATTATAAATTTCAATTTTTTTAATTAATATAATTCACTTTTAATATAAGTTGTAATTAACATAATTAACAAATTAAATATTCAAATACAACGATAAATTTGCACCAAAAGATGTACCTTTAATAAAATTGATTGTTAGATTAATAAATATGATGTAAATAAAGTTGTGTTTGAGATTCTTCAAATTCGCTCCATCTTGGGTTATTTTCATTTCTAGCGTTTACTGACGCAAAAATAATCATTAATTTCTTACGAAGATTACAATAGTAAAAATTATAATAATCAATCGAATCTAATGAAAAATATGTTAAATATAAGTTGTAATAAATAGATATTTAAATTAAAATTGAATGAAGAAAATTATTGGCAATTGTTATTAAAACAAACTAATTAGACTATTCCTGTTTTCAAGGAACTTTCTTTAATTATGAAAATTACGGCGTTTAATAGGAAAATTTAATATAATTTATTATTATAGAAGATGCATTACAGGATTTACTATAGACATTATAAACATCGTTCAGTTAACTTACTACTGTAATGTAAGTAACATACGATTTTATCATTTTATAAAAATTATAAATATTTTAATAATATTGACAAATATAGTATTGGTTAAATAACCTAATTAAAATATAATTTATTAATCTATTTTAAAATTATTATTTATTTATAAAATACGTATAATATAATAACTATTCCCTATGGAATATAATTAATTTCTCAATAAATATGTCCGGGAATCGTTACGTAGCTTTAGCTTAAAATCAGTCGACACTGATCTTGTACATGAGAGGAGGCTAAAGCGATTACATCTGTACTCTGCAGATGAATCTGTCTTGTATCAAAACGCGCAAGTACAAATAATTGTCTAAAGTTAGACAAATATGATGACTTATTTAATTTCGTGTACAATTTGATGATTGAAATTAGTATTAATAGAGAGAATTCAATAATTTAAATTCAAAAAAAAAAAAAAAAAAGTTTAAATAATTTGAATATCTAAGTTATGTAATGTTGATTGTCATATATTTAATTTAGTAAATTATTGGTATATAATCACTGTTGATCAACCTGTCATGATAATAAAATTGATAACAATATCTATAAATTGCTCGAGTTTTTAATTTTAGCAATACGTGAATATGTGATATAGTAATAATAACGATTTTCCTCATCATAATGAGCAGAATGATATTATTTAATGTCAAAACGTATTATAAATTTTTGCCTTTAATTCTATATTTGAATTAATTTAAGGGTAAATTTTACTTGTATAAAAATTTATAAAAATTTACAATTATAACTGGCCTAATAATTATATATAATAGAATCAGATGAAATAATAATAAATTTTGCTATTTCCTTGAAACAAAAACAAAATAAAAACAATTTCATTTTTTAAATCGTACATTTAATTATTAATCACGGATTTTTTAATACATTAATCGGAAAAGTAAGTGGTTATAGAAAAAACACTGAAAAGTCCGGTAAATATTGACGTGAAAAGTATCGAATAACATAAAAATAGGTTTATAGAAAATAATCTATCTAGTTTAAGCAACGTTGATCTAGATTAAAATGATAGATAAGATACAGAAAATATTTAAATCATTAAGCATAATAAGATTTATAAATAGTATAAATGCGTAATATAATTTACTTAATTCATTTATTTATTTTCAATATAACTTTAAATAATACATTAAATGATTTAATATTTCCATTTCAAAACGGTAAATAATTTTTCAGAAAAATTTATTTATATTTATAAATAATCTGATACCATAAATTAATCGACATTTTGATCTAGAAAAAAAAATCATATATTTTTCAACTTAGAGTTTTTTAATTTTTATCAAATTTATGATTATTCGCATATATCTACACACTTGTAATATACAATATTTATTTAAATTTATATTAGTTAAATTGAAGAATCTGAAGATTATCGATACAATATTATTTCAAATAACGAATGTCAATGTAATTATAATTCAGGTGAATGATTATACACGCTATTCCATATTATATAAGCTAGAGAACAAAAATATTAAAATTTTCTATAATCAGGTATAATAATATAGTATTCGAGCAG